TCATTGGGTTTATTCCATTGTGTTGTATATTTGACCATGATGTGAGTGCAAAGCTAGCTTGACCTTTGGGCTTACTGATTGTTGCATGTGTACTTAGCCATGCTGAGAATGATTTCTCATCTGCTTTCCTCTGATTGTGTCTTAGAGGACAAAATGTACTGAAAGTAATTTTTGCTAGATTTATAGTAGAAATAAGATCAGAAATGATCAATCCAAAATGAAGGGGTTGCTCAGATTAGCAAATTCAACTTTGAGCTGGGTAAAACTAATATCAGATACGGAAGTGAAAGATTTTAGAGGGGTAAACAAATCCTTGTGAGTAACTAAGACTTGCAACTCAAAACCTAAGTTAATATTTAGAAAGTTGGCTCTTGAAATATGACAGAAAAACAGTGCTTTAAATACATCTTTGAAGTACTTAATGCACAACATTCACTTTTAAATGTGGAGAATTAATAGCCTGAAACACAAGTTTAACTTCACAGTCATGGTGGTAAGTACAGTTTAATGGGTGGATACAGCTAAGTAGCATGAAGGATATGAAGAGCAGACTGGCTGGGGGGACGTGTGGTATAAATACTGAGTCCGGGAGTTAAAAGCTGAATTGTATTTTTTTTTTTAGCTTCATTATTTATTATGAGATTATGAATATTTACAAGTGTATTCCAAAATTCTAAAATCTTCTATATTCAGCTGAAGATGGGCCTCATGTCACCTCGTCCATCATGGGATCACAGGCTAATTCAAGTTGGAAGGGACATCAGGAGGTCTGTTTTCTACCACCTCCTGAAAGCCTGCACCAGGCTATGTTGCTGAGGGCTTTATCCAGTCATCTTGAAAAACACCAAGGATTACAATTGCACAGTCTTTGTGAAAAAGTTTTATATCCAGGCTGAACCTCACTTGTTTCAGTCTGTCCTGTTTTTTATTTCCCACCATGCATCACCATGAAGAACCTGGCTTTGTCTTTTTAATAATCTCCTCACAGGTGAAAAGGTTATTGACTCCCCCTGAAGTCTGGCTAACATTGCTCTGTGGAGTAGATTTTTCCAGTGCATAGCCTTACTTGACTTTACATATAGGAAGAGCATTATCTTTCACTCTTTCTCAAGGGAATGTAACATGTCACTGTCACGAAGTTATTACCAGTACTCCCCTCATACATTCCTTTCTTGATTTTCTTCTTGCTTTATTTAAAATGAACATAAATGATATTACTGTACTGCTAAACTGGATTTTAGTGTAATGGATAAGTGATCTGGGCAAGTAATTAACAAAACTGTGTTTAAATAGAGGACTAACTACGGTCCGAATCAGAGCTGCCAAATCCAAGAAGCTGAATGAAAGTCTGAAATTCTGTGTCTGAATCTGATCTGGCAGTTTTGTACTGATGAATCTCTGTTGACTTTCACTGCATTCTGTGTTTCTAGTGTGAGAACTGAAAAAGGTCTGTTAAATCCAACTCCCAGCATTGGGCAGCCCTATGGAATAAATAGGGATGAATGATCCCCTGATGATTCTATTGATGTATCCTGAATTATCTTCATTTTCAATTTCTGCAAAATTTGGTCAATATCCTTTATTAGATTCATTTTAGTTGTGTTAAGTATTTTTAGGTTGGTATCAGGAAAAGAATTAGTGTTTTTAAAAAGTAAAAAAAAAACAAACCCTGATGAACTTATAGTTTGATAGATGATACAGATGGATGGTAGAACTAGCTTGAATGTTTTCCTTTGTGATAAATGATACCTTGATGTCTCTTCTTTTGATTGTACTTTAACACTGCATTTGACAATGTGCTAGATCTGCTTTTTAAGCAATGAGCTGAGGCCTTGATATGTCTGTGGGTTGCTACGTTCAGAGCAGACCTTTGTATTAATTGACAGCACAGGGAAAATTCTTTTGTGTGCAATTTTTTTTCCTTTCAGGAAGGGTTTAAAGAACAAAACCTGTAGTAAAAATTTCACTCTATAGCAAAGAATTTTCCAGGTGCTTATCATCTAAGGGCAAGAATTGCAGAAAAGAACCTTAGAAGGTTATGAACCCCCACGGAAGTGGTAATAGTGTACAAAGGACTCAGTTCTTACATATCCTGTTTTATGTGCTTAGGAGAAACTACATTGTATAGTACTTAAGGCAAAGGAAAATGACCTTCTAAATGCATTTATTAGAAACAATCACTTGAATGATTTTTAGCGATCATTTCAGAGACTGGGTATAGGAACATGGATGAGCATATCAAGCAGCAGCCTCTGCAAATGTTTATTAATGAAATCTTGGAGCAGTTTGAAATTTGATGTACCAAAGGCATGTGTGCTCCAGTAGCAGCTGTCTCTGGTAGTGAACTAATCTGATGAGGGGAAAGATAGTGTTAGAATCTTTACAATCCAAAATCAAAATCTTCCACTAACATAAAGAAAAAGCTTTATTGTGACCCAATATGTTGTACTACAGGGGAATGACGTTTAAAAAATTTTCAATAACAAGCCTTTACACAGCTGAGAAAGAGGGCGAAAAGAAAAAGATGTGAAAGATGTCAAACAGCAGAGAAAATTATTTAAAGCACTTTTGACATCCATGAAAGATTATAAAGACATCCTGAATGTACAATGGGAGGTATGCAAAAGGTGCTGGAGGGAACTTCCGCTAGGCTTTCCTTTAATGCCTCTGCAGAATAACAATGAACTAATTCTTTACAAATGCCTTTTTCCTGAATTCTTCAGCTGGCTCAGCCAAAGGTTTTAGGAAGAGATTGGTTTCCGTGAGCAGAAATGCCAAATATATCTCTGCTTGGATATGATAATAATTGAATGGGGGACAAAAGGCTTTGCAGTGCCTTGTGCATAACTGCTGCTGTAGGACAGTGGTCAATGTTTCAATCCTGTGTTTTTTGTTATTAGGACAAGAAAAAAATGTACACCTGTGTTGTTTTATTGCCTGTAACTGCTGCCAGTTGCTGTTCTCATTCTTTAAAAATTGGAAGTAGTTCATTAAGCAAAATAATTTGAAAAGTGTAAATAGTGTATAAATACAGTCCCTGAGTAATGTGATAGTTTTCATCTACACCGGAGTAGATTTTACATTGCTCCTTGCTGCTAGTTTATGTTGCTTGGATAAAGAAGATGACATGAGGTAGTTTAGGATAATGAAACAAAATTTTTTTTCCAGCATCCTTACCAGTCACTCCCACCTTGAGCATAAGTGGCTTATTTGTAAAATAGCATAACACGTTACCTGCTTTGGCAAAATATTTAAGGAATGTATTGTTTCCCAATAGATGTGCCTTCCTAGTCTGCTATGATGTAGATCTTAATTTTGCCAGCACTTTATCTCTTTCAAACCCTTTGAATGTTCTCAAACATTCACTTTCTCTTGGCTCATCTTACACATTAAATGAATAAATTTAAATCTGCTGAGGAGATTGATTCAAAATATGCTTTTGCATTCTGTCTAAACACTTTGAGTTGGATCTTATGGATATTCAGTGCACAATGTACTTATTGCAAATGTGTTTAATTCAATTTCACAATATTAGTATATTGCTAATAACATGTTTCCTGTTGTTTTTAGAACATAAAAACCACTTTCAGATAATGGTATGGAGCTTGCTCACATAGTGTTTCTTGTATCATATGTTTCTCACTGTGTCTGCCTTTTGGACAGATATTCAGCCTATCACAAATAGACATAATTCCATGTACTTCTTTGAGGCTGGCCCTTTTTTCACTAGCTGAAAACCTGTTCTGTTCTATCCATAGTATTGCTTCTTGCAGTTTCAGATGCTTCTAGGATGCAAGCTTAAAAAAAAAGTCTTTAAGAGCCTGGGAACTTTGAATTATGTGCTCAAATCCCATAGATTATGAGATGAGGTTTAATGTAAGTCTATGAACACAATCTTAGATTTTCTTTTGTCCTTATAGAAGCACAGATGTTCACTGGTAGATGGTCAGTGAGGTGCTCCAGACACTGTTCCTCTGGATTGAAAATATTTGTAATGAAAAGTGGGACAAGTGTAAGTCGCTATGGTAATGCTAACTTGAATTGCAAGACCATAAAAAAATTGAGATCTGAGCTCTGATCACAGAAAGACAGATGCTGAATTGCAGTGCAGAGTGCAGACCTAAGTCTTGCAGTATCATTTATCCTGTAATTGCATAGTGATGATATATAACATATAAACAAATACTGAAAAATATGTTTCTTCATTAATTTTTTTTTACTGGAATAGTGTGAAAGCATAATTGAAAGAGAATTTATGATCTCTATAGAATTCTCTATAGAGAATTTGTGTTCTTCTCATAGAAATCTAATGCTTTTCATTTTCTTTAACTGTTTTCTGGAAAATAATTTGTGTTCATACACTTGTTAACCACACTGCTCTGTGAACCACATAGGCATAGCTCTTCTGGGAGGATGGCCTCAGTGCCTGCCCTGTGTTCTGTAAGAATCCTTGTACTCATTCTGCACTTGTTCTGCTAAAGAGGCTGCTTCTTCATTTCTTCTATGCAGCAAGTTTAAAATCTCATCATATTTAAGGTCCTCATTTATCATCACTTCTTCCAAGTCAGCCTCCTATTAGTGACTTCACTGCTTCTGCCAGTTCCTTAGGTGGAGATGGCTTAAGTGGGTGTAACCAAAATGAAAAATGTAGCTAAATTGGGTGATTCATAGCAGCATGAGATAATATAGCAACTGGTACTATTTTAAGCTTTCTGTATTTTGTTCATCTGACTCTGAATGTGTCAGGCACTAAAGAAAATAAAATTGTAATTGTGGTCTAGTTTCTCTAGTAAATAGGTTGCAAATCAAAAGATCTGCATTATGGAGTTCTGAAATAATGAAATATGGGCAAACTTAAACTCAGATCTTACCTTAAAGGTGTCAGAATAAAGGAAGCAAAGCTCCTCTCAGAAGAGACAGAAAGAATATGGTTAAAGAGGGTGTCTTTGAAGTGTTTCTGTTATGCTTTCTTACTATGCTTCTACTTTCTGTACCCTTAGCTTTCTTTGGAAAGTACCTTAATGAATACAATGGCTCCTATGTGCCTCCTGGTTGGAAAGAATGGGTTGGATTACTTAAAAACTCTCGATTTTACAACTACACCCTCTGTAGAAATGGTGTGAAGGAGAAGCATGGATATGACTACTCCAGGGTAGGTCCTGTTTTGATTTATTATTTTTTTTAACATTTGGGCATGACTGAAAGGAGCTGTGCTTTATGGTTTCAGTCTAACTAAAGAATTATTTTTGCACTTGAAAGCTGCTACGTGTAACATTAGCTACAACCCAATAGGTGTTGTGTTTGGACTTTTTGTTATCTTCTATTCCAGGAGGGTCGTGTTACTGAAAACATTGTTAGCAGCAATGGCAACAAACAAAATGTTCTGAGACTGTATTATGAACTGAAGATGTGGAAATGGATTAAAATGCTGCATGATAACTATTTCTGTGCTTTGTACTTTAATTATTGTGTGCTAAGGCTGATTGTCATCTATTTCCCTGGTGTAGAGCTGATTCCAGTGGAGTTACACAAGCATAAATGAGATAAGAATCCAGTTCCCTCCAGCTAGACCCATCTTTTTGTGTTAGTTTAAGGAACATGTTTCATAGCCACAATGTGATGGAGAATTCATATCTTGGTATATCTTATGATAATTCTGAATGAGTGGAGAAATTAACTATTAAATTTATATCTCCGTGCATTGTTATAGGCACATATGTTTTCTAATATCCTTGCAAGGATGATATACTGTTGCCAAACTTAGTAGCATGCTTTATAATCACTGTCAAATGCAATATGTTTTTTCCTCATCTAGCACGTTTCAGCTCAGTTACCTGTTTGCAGTAAGGAATATCTTTTATTTCAGCCAAATGTATTGCCTTTCCAAAGGAACTAGCTCTTGTGAATTCCTAAAATGGTCTGAATTGTCTCTGAAGTATGATGATAAATAAATTAATGCATAAACTGTTGTAGTTTAAATAGTGTAAACTTAAAGTTGACTCACCCTGGAGTGATCCTAATTTGTAAGGTGTATTTGCTTAACAGGGACTTGGTTTGCTTTCTCTTACTAAGCACAAATCCTGCCTCCATATTTGTGTTTTATTAGCATTGTGTTCACACTCAGGTTTTCCTTTAAAAGGCTGATGTCTGTGTGATTTCCCCCTTCCCCTCTCCTGTTTGCCATTTTTAATTGAATGTACTTTGTGTTGAAAGATGAAACTTGACAGGCTTCAAGGGTTTCCTTTTCTATCACCAGCTGCTAAGGAAGGGGTAACTGATGTACATAATTATTTCTCTTTTATTTCCCTTCTGATCTCTGAAGAATGAGAGAGCCAATGTTTACAGCCATGTACCCAAAATTCGATGATGAATGTGTATCTTATATGGAACAATGTCAGGCACTGTTCCCCCTTGTACCAAGCAGCCAACAGGGAACTTTATGTTCCAATATCCTCAGATCTGTTTTGTGTACAATATGCAGTACTTGAAAATGCTTAGGTTTTCATTTGGTTTAGTTTTCTCTTACCAAGTTTAACAAATGAAAAAAAGTCTGATGAAAATACAAATGTTTTTATAATCTTTATATTCTTGCATAATATACCACTGTGGTGATAAACAGATGTTAGTGTTCAAAGCAACAGCACTTCTTGATGTTCAGCTGGGGTTCAAATTAAGAAAGAGAAGCCGAAATACCAGACTGCTTCCCTTTCTTTCCTCCCATTTTTGTTGCTGGAAACCTAATTTTCCAGCAATGAACAATATAATCAGATTATTTTTAGCTGTATCTACTTGACATAATTAATGTTAATTATGTGCCAGTGGAAAACTAGAAAAAGACATTACATATTCTGTCCTCCAAAGCAACTGCTAAGCACTTACCCTCTGAAGATCAGATCTTTGCAAATTCTTTCATATATTTGAACAAGATATATTCTACTCTGATTTTTCTTTTGCAGTTTCTGTCAGCTTTTTTTTTTATGAATTTTTGCTTTTGTATGCATTTGCACAGTCTAAAACCTCTACAATCTGGAGCTTTTAAAAAAAGATATCAGTTCAGCTGTGTTTTGGTCTGGCTTATTGTACCTTCTTCCTTTCCCTGCATATGATTAGGAATGAAGGTCCTTCAGTAAACTTTGATGAAATTATGCCTATTGACATCTGCATTTGTGAGTGAAAAATATATCAATAACAGTGATAATTATGGCAGTTTCATAATAGACATGCCTCTTGTTGGGACCAATGTTGTGAAGTTATAAATGGGAGAATTTGCCAGGCTTGTTGTGGGATACATGAGAAATAACTTGGGAGAAGTATATACAGTCAATGAAAAAGACCTCCTTTGAGGAATGATAAGCTGAGTTCTTAGATCAAGGACACTGGTAGAGTTAAAGAGGAGCAAGTGTCAGAACCATGGACAAAAAGCTGTACCTAAAAAGAAGGTGCAATCCCCCCACATTATACTTATTCAGTTGACCAAATGCAGACATTATGTTTGATTTTGCATTCATCTGTGATGTGACTCTTCGTTTTTTAAGGGTGCAGATTCATATCCTACATATGTTTTAGGGATATTTGCAGCATTTCCTGTGATGCACCCTAAAAAAACATAGCTTGCCATTTAAAATACTGTCTTCAATCAGTATACCTCCAGCACGTATCAGAAGAGGGATGATACTTCTTAGAAAATAGAAAGATAGTCCATATCTTCCAAAGGAAATTTTCTAAGTTATCAGCAATTTATTTGATAGAATTTGATAGAATTTTCCTGTTTCATATGGTACCTCATACCTCCTCTTATCATCTCACCCCCCAACTTGAAATTATTTTTCAAGTATCTCATTGTACTTTTACTTCTGCTTGCAGGATTATCTAACTGATCTGATTACCAATGACAGTATTACCTTCTTCAGAATCTCCAAGAAGATGTATCCTCACAGGCCTGTACTGATGGTTATAAGCCATGCTGCTCCTCACGGCCCTGAAGATTCAGCCCCTCAGTACTCACATCTCTTTCCTAATGCCTCGCAACACATGTAAGGAAAAATAAAACCCTTTCATTTCCAGGTTCAGGAGTATAGAAGTCTGGGATACCTCTGGGAGAACAATGTTTGCTTTATAATACCCTTGCCATAAGTTTTTCACAAATACATAAGAGTTTTGAGATATTTGTTTTCTAACTCTTCAGACTAGTGCAAGTATCTTGAGAATGGCTACTGCATCTTGAACTCAGAATTGCAGCTCACTGAGATAAATGGAAAAATTGACTGTTGAATCCATTGAATAGTGAATTCATTGGACTTTTTTTACAAGCTATTTGGGAGCATTGCTTTATTTTGAGCAGGGCATCAAAATCTGGTTCTTGGGTTCTCTACAGGGGAAGAAACTTCATCTCCCTGTCCTTATGTATAAACTCTATCATTTTATGACTTACAAAAAATCACATAGTATGCAATGCTTACTACTTCTATTTCATATATGGAAAGAAAAGTACAGGCCTGCAGCACCAAATTAGGCAGACTATTTCTGAATAAGCTGGTATGTCACTACATAACACAGTGCAATATTTTGAAGGGGTCCCAAAAGCAATATCACACAGTTTCTGAGTTAACATGTTCATAATCTCTGTGATGAGATGGTTCTTGTTTATAGCACAGAGATATTTTACAAGAACAGCTCTGTAATGCTCTGTTACAGGCATCTCCTCTCATGCTGATAAAATGAATGGTTCTTCCAAATCACCTTTTGGTACAACTGAAAACGCTCCAGTATTTTCCAATTACTGTCTTCATGCCTTCGTTGATGTTCAACATTTTTAACTTTATTCTTCTGTGCCCTTTTTTTGCATATTTTTTTTTTTTAAGGGGAATTCTGTTTTATTTTGGATTTGTGAAGGAACTGGGAACTGATGGAAGTAACCAACTGGTAGCCAGAGATGCTCAGGACTAGTACAAAGTCCAGTGAAATCCATCTGAGCTTCTTAACTTTATTTTAAATAGAGTCTGGGAGCAAAAGCTTTCTTTGTTCTATTGTCTAAGAATTGTGTAACTTAGAATTATATATTTCATTATTTCATGCTGTACTGCCAAAGAGAATCTGTGTCCTGGATCTAAAGCAATGCAGTATTTCATGTTTGTTTGCCATCTTATGCTCATTTATTTTCTTTGAAATGAAAATTACAGAAATGCCAAATAAGCAACTTCTCATAGCTTATACCCAGTATTGACCTTAGTCTTATTAGAAGCTCCTTTGGATGGCATTCATATCTCAGAGATTATAATAATTTATCCAGCAACATTCTGTAGCAATTTAATTGTGCTAGGAGAAGCATTTGAGGAAGGCCAGCAATGAAAAATATAAACTAGATCTATTTTTCCCTTGCTCATAGTTTAATTTTTCACACAAACTAGGTTTATCTTCCTGATTATAAAGTAGTTATACAAAACTATTCTTCATTGTAGGTGACTTTTCTTGTAATGTTAACAGTTAACACAGAAAGCATCACTTTCTGGAAACAAGTTCTGTTTGTAAAGAAATAAGGTATGTTAGTAGATTAAGGAACTGTTTTTCTTTTGGATATGGACATAAAATAGGATTTTTTGTACATCTTGTGCAAAGAAACTGCAAATCTTGTCCTAAACAGTTTTTCCAGCACTACATAATAAGGATCTGTAAGAGTTTTCACTGGCCTGTGTTTGAGATTAAATGTAAAAAGGTAGAATGTGCATAATTCTCTCAGTGTATTTACAAATTAGTTCTATGCTTTCCATTTTTTCCCTTGTTCCCACATTCCAAGGAATTCCTCAGTGACGGAAAAATCTGTCAGTGGTTAAAGGGGTCAGTCCTCACTGTTGTTGACAGGTGGATAGAGAAGGATCAGAAGACAGAGCACTTATGCTGAATGACCCTAAGCTATGAGCAATGCCTTGAACAAAGCCTTGGCTAGTCCTGGGATCAGAAGGCCAGACACCATGTGGCAGGTCCCTGTACCTCTCCTTGTGGCAGGCCTGGCAGAGTCTGCAGGTGGATTCTTGAGCTGTATCCATAAGACAAAGTGAAGGGGTGACTGTAACACTCACACTGTCTGACATACTGCACTAGGAGCATTGCTAATAATAGCTCTAAGTTAATGGAATGGATTTTAGCATATATTGACTATCAGAGTACTGCTTTGGCAACTCTGGTAGTTACTTCTGTTGCTAATTTCTGGTGTTGTTCTCTTGCTTCTATTATTACATATATTAGCTTGTATGACCATTCCACCCATTGTCTCTCCATCTTGTTCTGTAATGCTTCTTTTCTTGTGCATCTGCAGTCTTTTCTTGTTTGAAAATTAATCACATCAAGCAGCATTAACATAGCAAATCCCTAGGCTGCATGGCTGGTTTTCTTTTTGTCCTGCCCATACCAGTAGCTGCAGCAAATGCAACAGCTGGGCAGTGTAACAGTGATCAGAAATGTTATTTCTATAGAGGGTACATTTCACCACCCCTCTTTTTCAAGGTCAAAAGCAACCAGACTAGGACTTACATTCTGAATACATTGAAAAGGTTATATTGACCAACTTCTAGGAATGCTATATTTGTATATTTTCCCCATAAGACAGACAAATCTGTTAAGTGTGAGAGGGTTACATTTGTAGTAATCAAAGAAAATCACAGGCTTTGGTTGGATTAAACAGTGGGAGGTTTCAGATCAGCCAGGAAATCACAAAGTAAGCTGAAAAGGAGTTTGCCAAGCATTTTTGATTCATTCTGGGCATCACATAGCAACAGTTTCCATAACTGTCAGCATTTTCAAAGGAGCAATGTCATTATTTCAGCCACAATAACATTCTGAAATTCAAGAGGCTATTAACAATACAGAGAGAATAAACACCAGCCCTTTCCTCCCTATATGAAGAAACTTCCATTTGCTGCCTACACACATTTTTGGATAGCATCTAACAGAGGCTTTCAGCAAAAAACATTTCACTGTCAGATTATTAATTTCATAGGTATATTAAAACTCTTAAGACTACCTGTCATACTCAAAGATACATTTGATACATGGTTTTTCAAGAACTTTCAACTTCTATTACTGTTGTTTATCGTAGTAACTTACCCTGCTTCTCTGTTGCCTACACAAAAACAACAGTAGGTATTTGCCAAATTTATCAGGAGAATGTGTGTTGGGAAGAATAAAATAACTGAATATCTGTGGTTTTTTTCCTGTGTTAGCGTCACCCTCTTTGCTTACATATTTGTATAGACTGAGCTTACTGCTGCAAATGAAAAAAAGGAAGTCTCAACAAATCACTTAGGAAAAGTGATTTGAGACTCCACAGGTGATGTGTTTGAGCCAGGATATGTAGAAATTGACAAAAGGGGTTCTCAAATCTTAAGCAATAACAATTGTTTTAGGAGTAGATTTAGTAGATAATAATAGTCTTTCTTGGAAATAAAAGCTATCATACAGTTTTATAGTGAGTTGGTGATGCAGAGAGTCAGCATTGTAATGATATACCAAAAAAAAATTTTTTTTTGTTTAGATCCAGCTAGCTTAGAGCAATGTAATAATGCACAGAAAAGCAACCTCTGGAGTTGTCAACAATATAAAATTATGGACAATCAGAGATAGAAGGATAGTGAGACACTGGAATAGGTTGCCCAGGGAGGTTGCAGATGCCCTTTCCCTGGAAGTGTTCAAGGCCAGGTTGGACAGGGCTCTGAACTACCTGGTCTAGTGAAAGGTGTCCCTGACCGTGCAAGGGGGTTGGAAGTAGGTGATCTCTAAGGTCCCTTCTAACCCAAACCATTCTATGATTCTGTGATGATATGATACTTCTCATCACTTTACCGGTGTCACAGGATAATGAGAATTTGGAATGGCTTTGCAATTCCAGGAAGACATTGAATCCAGCTCTTGGGATTTTGCAGGGACTTAATTATAAGTTTCTGATGATCACAAAGGAGTTGGTGGCTGGAAAGTGTCTGCAAAATACAGTCCTATTTCCCCTCACCCCTGCTTTTCTTGGCAGGTCTTTAAAATCCGGCAATGTATCCACTTCTGCTTGCCATGCGCTCACATGCAGTTTGATACCACCAGGTAGGGTGCCTGTGCTCCTCTGGGTACACAAGTGTGAAAGTATTCAAATAGCCAGTCATTCTGATTTCAAAAAAGCTGTTAAAGAACATGGTAGAACCTTTTTAGCAAGTTCTGTAGTTGTTGTTAAACAGCTTGCACAGTCCATACTATTTGGTACTAATGTGGGCAGAGTGAAAGCAAAGCAATTACATGAGTGGGAATTCTATGGTATCATCCAGGTCATACTTTTGAAGTTAGACTTCTCAGGCTAGTAACTTGACCTGAAAATGAATCTGTCAGTCTGAAGACACTGAAAATACAATATATAGTTACTCTTTTAATAGATTTTATTCCCCACAAAGTTGGTTTTATTCTCCTATCTTTCATAAAGAACATAAAGCCAAGACTTCTCCAAAGTAAAAGTAATATTTTCTTGTGCACCTCAGAGAGTAAAGTCATATAGTGTTGATCAAATAGACATTATTGGTGTACTCTACTATGGATTTTCTACACTGCTAAACCATTCTGTTTTTCTCTGTTCCTTAGCACTCCCAGTTATAACTATGCTCCAAACCCAGACAAGCACTGGATAATGAGGTATACTGGTCCCATGAAACCTATCCACATGGAGTTCACTAACATGCTGCAGAGAAAGCGCCTTCAAACGCTCATGTCTGTGGACGACTCTATGGAGATGGTAAGATGAATAGTCACTCTCTTTTTTGGCTGAACAGGTGCTTGTTTCTTCAGCTAAGCTCCAAGCTGTGTTGTAAATGAAGATAAGGGGGAAGGTAGGAGGACTACATTAGTTTTTTAATAGTGTATAGTCCTTCCACCTGTGATGATTTTGTCTCTATTCAATGTATAAGGCTCCCCATCTCCTAAAGACAAGTTTGGAAATAACTACCCAACTGTAAGCCTAATTTGATCCCTGTAACATTGATTGTCTGAGAGAAAAACAACAAAAGGTCATGCTACAGGAGTCCTAACTGGAAAAATCTCGTGGTAAACCAGGCCCAGGATGTTAAATGTTAGAAGTAAATAAATATATACATAGGTTTTTTATGGTGGTTTGTTTTTGTGTTTTGTGAGGTGTTTTTTTGTTGTTGTTTTTTTATGGTGGTTTGTTTTTAATTAAATCTGTGTTATGAAACAGTGAAATCTCTTCATGCAAGCTTGTGTCTTGAACAGAAATGTCTGAATTAGGTAAAAGCTACTCTGAAAACAAATGGGTTTCTAGTCAATAAGGCAGTTTTAAAGGTGCTGCAATTAACTGCTTATTTCTTGGCATTCATATTCAAAAAACGTAGAACATAAAAGGAGTCCTGTAAGGCAAAAATGAGGTGATCAGGATGATATTGCATCAGCTTGTTAGTTATGTCCTATAATTACTGATTCAGGCAAGTATGATCTCTACTTCATATTAATGGACCTGTTTAGATGGATCAGATACCAGCATTAGGGAAGTCTGGTTATTGTACCACACTATTTTGATTTTCTATTCAATAAAATGTTTTCACTTTGGATGATCCACTGCAGGCAGAATCAGTTGGGTTGTTTTTTAGTTGTAATCACCAAATTAGCCAGATCTTTTCTGCTGACTTACATGTATCTAATAGTCTGTCAAAATTGAAATACAAAAAAAACCAAAAACCTTAACAAAACAAAAAATAACAAGAGTTTCTTCTGTGCTGATGCTTTCTGCATCTATGTGATAAAAACTGGTATGTGGTTCTGAAGTTGGTGCATTTCACAAAGATTCTCATGTAAATCCATAGAAACAACCATGGAGTTAAAGCTCCTTGTTAATTCTTTAATTTTGTTCTCCAGTTAGAATAAGACTGAGTGATATTTCTCTGGAAGAGATTTTGCAAATACTCTTTGTGATGGGACTCTTTTTTTTTCTGAAGGCAGGGTCACTGAGTGTTGCTTAAATAAGTGTGAGATTCAAAAGGCTGTCATTTTATAAAAATTGTTTGCTGCAGGAAAAAGATAAAGGTAGAGAGAAAACTTCAAAAATGCTTATCACCTTGAAACTTTTATCTCTGTTGCCATATGTATTTAGTACTCTCTTTGACAGCTCTCATGCAAAATACTATACCCAAACACTTTCAAAAATATGTCATGCTAATGTGTATACCTTAAAACAGAAAACAGAAGTTTGTTTTGTAATTGCCACAATATTCAGTGAGTAACATTATTAAGTGATTATAGATTATTCAGAATCCTTCATTGTGCTAACTCAGTGCCATCCTGAATTGTTATTATGTTTGTATATTACACATAGGCAGAAAATTATATCCAGTAGTCTGCCTATAGTATTATTCAGTGGAATGAAACTCATTTCTTTTTGCCTTTTTTTCAGATTTACAACACGTTGGTCGAAACAGGTGAACTGGACAATACATATATAATATACACAGCAGACCATGGTTATCATATTGGGCAGTTTGGACTGGTGAAGGGGAAGTCCATGCCATATGAGTTTGATATCAGAGTTCCTTTCTACATCCGAGGTCCAAATGTGGAGGCTGGATCCTTGTGAGTTCTTGGCTATTGTGTGTATCTGCATATGTAGTGACCAAAAAAATCCTTTGTGTTCCCCTCTCTAGTTGTGTTGACCTGGCATCCAGATGGAGACACAAAGTTCTGCTCACCCTGACTGACTTCCTGCAGAAAAATAAGTCTACTAGGATAGCAGAACTGATGGTATCCATGGTATCTGTGCTACTGATGGTAGCATGTGCTGGTGTAACATACCCAAGGTTTTAGGCCATTGCCTTTTGCTTGTGTTGGTGTGCAGCACAAGCCGTCACACTTTTGTGAATGTAGTTGAAAAGTGACTTAGCAGTATGTCCAGTCTAGGAAATGCTTATTTGCCTCCTTTTGAGGGCTGCAAATAATACACAAAACTGTGACCTTTTCCAGGTAAAAAATATATTGTGTAACATTCACTGCCACGGTAGATAATTATTGCTGAACGTTAAAGTGGAATCACTTGTTTCAGTTTATAAAGAAGAATGTATGTAATAGTTCATATATTATAATACACAAAAGATTTTTTTTTGGTTCATCCTTTTAGACTACATGGTTAGGGCTGTTTGTTGGATGCATGTAAGCATGCAGAGTGTGACTGTTAATTAAAATGGTAGCTTTGATCAGCTAAGACATTATGTAAATACACTTTATAAGCAATTATTTCGATAGCAAATATTTGCACTTAAGTAATGATTTTGGACAGAGTGCCATAATTTCCTACCTTTTATTTATATCAATGTGCATGTTTTAGCATAATTAAGACACACAAACTCTTCCTCACACAATTTTTTTTCTTTACTGCAGGGGAAAAGATCAAATGTGTAGTAGAGTAGCAAGTAGTCATAAAAAAAAATCTCAGGCCATTTGCTGGTTAAATTTACTGATTGGCATTATCAGTAGGCACAAAAATGTTGATTTCTGCAGATACTGCCTGATGTGTCTCATTTATAGCAGTTATGCATGGAAAATAGACAATATTACTTCTCTAAAGAACAGGGGAGGAGTTCCTCAGGTGGAATTAAAGACGTTAACCCCTGCACTGAAATAATTTTGATTGCAACAGCACAGAATTTCAAGTAATCTGGATTAGACATCTAAGAACATGTTCTCTTGCCCTTCAGCTGCTGATTTTGGTCTCACTAGAGATGCAAAGCTAATATGGCCCAAATGGACTGAGGTAGTTTTTCTGCAACATGCAATTCTAGGGACCAGAAACTCTGTCTGCACTGGTTCAAGGATCTTTACACTTAGACATATATAAAAGCTGTGAAACCTTCCCCTTGAATTTTATTTTTCAGTGGCTTCTGAAGATGAAGAAGTATTTGTTAGAATCTGAGTCAGCCTGACAGAGTCTAACAGAACAGAGTCCATCACAGTACAATAAATAGGAAGAACAGCATAAGATGCCTTAGAGGGGAAATACATCAGATAAGAAATTGATCCTCCCTTTCAGCCTGATTTTCTTTAAGTGGTAGAGCTTCAATCATCCCTGTTTTCCATGAACCTTATGTTTTTCCTGCAGAGTAATTGTCATGACTCCCTTTTGATACCAACGAAGATTTAATAGCAGTCGCTGTAGCAAGTCATTACTACGCTCTCATTTCTATTACGAAATATGCTACACCACAATTATTAGTAATTAAAATCAAATTAGGTACATCAATTTAATTCATCATCCATGCTCTTGTCAGTGCCTGCTTGTGTTCTCTCTCAAAAATGTAGAAATTTTTAAATGGTGTCTCATTAATTAGTGTGAATTTAGCAGCTTTCTTCTGTCCTGTTTTTTGAGCTAGAATTCTTCACTGACATGTAGAGTAGTCCATCTGGTCCCATCCTTCCTTTGTGCCTGCAAACCAAAGCATATGTTCACTTTCTTTTTTTCTCACTTTTAAGAAATTGAGTGCCTTCCTTGGTTATTTTTTTTTTATTTTTAAGAACAAAGGACAAGAAAAAGTACACAGCAGATGAACAGTATGTATATGTGTAATATTGTGTGTAGTTACACAATACTGTCACAGACACATTTGAAGTAAGTTTGTATGGTTCAACAGGAACGCTTCTACAAATCCAGACCCATAGTAAAACCAATTCACATGGTTAGAAATTTGGACATTCATTTAGCTACTGAATGCTGGGCTGTGCAACTAAATGCTCTGATCTTTGAACTCTGTGGCAGTTCAAGGGATCTGGGGATAGGAGCTGTCTGTACTATTCAGGATTTGATGCCACTGTTTTAACCAAATCTTAAGTCAGCTTGAGTTAAAATACTGTTATGTTACGCATAGTGGCCAAGGAGCATATCCCATCATGTACTAAGGAACAAGACACGACTGTTTCTAAATATTTGCAAAGTGGACAGCTGCATTTGGGAAGGTTGATATTTTTCGAATTTAAGCTGTGCTTTTATTCTCTCCTATTTCTTTTTTTCCCCCCCTCTATAACTGCTTTCCCTTTGCTTTGTCTTTGCTGATCTCTTTCACTTTTATAGCTCATAGTCTACATTAACAATAAGTTTTAGTTATTTGCTGTAATGCCTAGCGATACATTTCTTATAATACTCTCTTTAGAATATGCTTGCTGTGATACTAGCTGAGATACTTATTTCTATACCATACTTTGAAACAGATAAAGCATGTGATACCTGCCAAATCTACTTTTTAATAGTCATCAGCATATTTGGCAGGCAATTTGATTCTGTAAGACACTCAAGGAGTGTTTCCAAGGCTTTCTCATGCTTTGAAAGACTTTTGAACCCTCTGTTGCAATAATTAACTAGCTTTGCCTTATGAACTACTTTGCTTTCTCAAAAATGCTCTGTGCTACTTTTTAAATCTTCATATTACTCCCTCTTGAGGTTATGCAACTTACCTGTATTTCACATTTTAATTCCCTTCACAGAAAGGGATTTGTGTCTGCTTTTCTTTATAGATGTCACAAAATAAGCCTTTTCAGATCCCTGGCCTCTGTGGAAGAGCTATAGTCATTTGATCATTGAATAGACTTTAAAATGGGTTCTCTTATGTTTTTTCAGGAATCCTCACATTGTGTTGAATATTGATCTTGCACCTACGATTCTAGATATTGCTGGATTGGATATTCCATCTGATATGGATGGTAAATCCATTCTAAAGCTTCTGGATTCTGAGAGACCAGTGAATAGGTAAGAAGTGGAAATGAGCGTGTAAAAATGCATGTTTGTACAGGAAACTAAGCAAGTGCAACATGCAGCAAATTCAAAGGAAAAGATATTAAACTTACTATCTATATGACTGCATCATTCAGTGGAAACTTAAAGACCTCTTTAGCAATGTGATTGAATTCAGTTGTTTACTTTCATCTTGTCAGGTTCATATACTAGTTATATGGCATATGTGGCATCAGGTTATACTAAAATGTAATCTGTGTAGCAGTGAGAGGGCTACACATGATCTTTAGCTATATGAGTTATAGATTTTAGATGTCTCTGTGGCATCTTTGTAGCAAAGTGTTTCATATAGAATAAATTGTAGAATGATTGAGTTGAAAGGGCTGGTTGTGTATCATACTATAATATAAAGACAAGCTAACCCTGAGAATTGCACAGTTAATATTTGAGACCTTCCCTCAATACTTTGAGGAAGAGAATTTGACTGGGTGCTTGCTAGAACAAATCAGCAGAAAAAGGGAAGATAATTTGCTTTACAAGCAAATGGAGGGAGAGGGGGAGAAGAGCAGCTGCTTTAGAATAGGATACTTTGGGGGGAGTGTGCAGGTTAAGAGCCCAAACTGGAGTCAGGAAATCCTGATTTAATATGCGATCCTTTGTGATCAAGGACAATTCAGTTAATCCCCTGTGCCTCAAACATGCTTATGTTGAAATAGTTGTACTGTGTGAATCTGTTGTGGATTTTGTCCCTGTGAGAACGCATCTGTCCTATATTCGTTATTTGCACTGAAAAGGCCTATGTGTCTGTTTCATAAAGCTGGATGTGCAGTTATATGTAGTGTTTATCACCTGAAATGGGGGTGGAAGAGAAAACTAAAGCATGACTCGATTACTGGTTTTGTTGGAACTGTTTCATCCTCACCTTATTTCCTCCCAGGTTCCATTTAAAGAAGAAGATGAAGGTGTGGAGAGACTCATTCCTCGTGGAAAGAGGGTAAGGAAAATGTTAATTACAAAGCACAGTCTTTTTAAATAGAAGGATACTGAATAGGTGAAGCCAAAGCAGCACTCTACCGCAGACTTAAAGCCACTTAACTGCGCCAGCGAGGACAAGACTGCAGTATCCTAATGGCAGTGCTGGTGTGATAGAAGAGAATGTATGGCTTTGCCTACAGCCTGCATAAATGTACTGTTGGGGTGGAGGAAGGGGAGTTTTACTTGGATTGAGAGATGGAAGGGCATCCATTTTTCTCTCAGCTACTGCCCACCCTGCCCCACCCCTCCTACTTGTAGCATGGGAGTAGGAATTACCTTTCCTCTCTGTGTTTGTCTGCTGGCCATTCCATCTACACCTCTGCCTTTGTATGTAACACAGGGCATGAAGGGTCTGCTGAGTGCAGCCCTGTAGAGTGAGGAGGATATGGTCTCTGTCTCATAGACTTTATTCTTGCCTGTCTATCAGACATGAAGCACTATCTTGGCTTTGCATGGCTTTTGTATTCTCCCTGAGAGCATGATATGAATAATTTGTCTGTTATCAAAGATGGTGGTAAGTGCTAGTTTCTACTGGGCTATTAAGTTTTGGCCACCAGTTATGTTATGAACTTGGCAGATAACCTACTCCTCTGAGCCTTTTCAGCAAATTTTATGTGTCTTGGAATAGATATTAAAGCGAAACTTAATATTGTTTTTTTCTTTTCCAGTAAACTGCTGCATAAGAGGGAGAATGAGAAGGTAGATGCCCAAGAAGAAAACTTCCTACCCAAGTACCAGCGTGTGAAAGACCTCTGTCAGCGAGCTGAGTATCAAACAGCTTGTGAACAGCTTGGCCAGGTAGGCCTTTGTACCCCTGACTGAGAGCAAGCAGTTGTAGTTGGGCCAAGCTCAGCACCTTAACTGTGACCGTGTCCTTCACCTGTCATCAGTGCCAGCCTATAAATCAAATGGATCATTCTGCGGCCTCTGCTCAAAACCATGTTACAGCATTTATGAGATTGACTGCCAGTCAGGAAATTGCTGATTCAAGTGCCTCTGTATTGATTCCTGACTACTGTTAAGAGAACTGCCTAGGCTCTTTTAACATTTTATCCCCCAAATAGAATGTGGTTTGGGATTGATTACTGATGAAAAGCTACAATGAACCTAACAGATTGGCCTCCTCCAAATATGTGTAGCTCCCTTTGCTTTGAATTCTTAATTTAACTAATTTTGTTAGTATTTGGAGTACATCTGATAATGGGAAACTTAACCTTCTGTGAACTCGAGGTATCTCTCCTCTTAGTGAAAATATGTTGTGAAAACACACATGCAGTTATGACTGTAGGCAGTCTATGTATATATGGGCACAAAGCTCACTGTGTGTTATTTCTCTTGTTACATAACTGTTCTGGGCAGGTATGAAAATGTGTTCAGTTTTGATCTGAGTTATGTAGAATAAATTCAGGAAACAAAATTTAGAGTAGTATCAATACCTGGTCTTGATACAGGAGAGTGTTCTGTAAATTTACCAGAGCTGTGCAAAGGCATAGCAAAGCTACCACTGGCAGTTCCACTCTTGGGGAGTTTTCTGCACTTTTGGGGGAATTCTCATCCTCTGGAGACACTGCAAAATTGACTCTGTGCCATTGCTTTCTCATCCAGGTACTGGTCAGAGTACCCCCTTCCAAAGGCTCTAACACTTTCTGCCTGTGTACATGTGGACAAAGGGGTGAAGGTAGATAGGTCCACATGCTAACGTGTCTGTTATTAGACAGGCATTACCTCATATCCTGGCAGCTCAAGAGGCCTGTCAGAATAAGTCAGGCTGTGGAATATAACTGTTCTTGCAGGCATGATTTGAATGCCTTACCAAGGCTGTAGTCAGTAACGAGGTATTTAAGCTATAGTAGTTTTTTCCTGCTGTTGGAGGAAGGACTCCCTGCATCTGCCTTTACCCGTCCTGTAGTTCAGTGCACCTGTGAAATGAGTCCATTGTTCCTTAGGTGTTTGGATCCTATTTAAAGGTATAAGCATTTTCCAGATTCTCTTTTCCTCCTGTGGCTTCTTTGTCACATTTAGGATATGGAGAGATTATAATGTCCTCTTCTTCCTAAAAATACTGAACTGCAGTAGTTTATTGTCATCAGATGTCTTGAGTTGAAATTGTAGATGGGTGGGAGCAAGCCATTGTTCTTTGAATTTGCAATGTTCTTTGAGAAACTGGGGGAAAAGTAATTGTTTCTGCTACAACATCATCCAGCAAGTAGTTTGGGGAAACAGAGCTTTTGTTTTACCATCAGTATTTTCCCTTTGAGGGATGTTTCATCTTCCCAATTATTTCAAACGTTATTGTAAAAACAGAGGGGAATAGAGGCTTTCCAATACCATGTTGCCACTGAAGCTGCCTCTTTGCATATAATAGCTGAGCTACATTCCGGCTCTCTTACTCTAATTACGACATGTCTCAGTTATGGAAGAAAGGGGCCTGTATTGTCTACACACATTCACAGACTTAGCTTTTCTTCCATGTAAAAGAAAATGTTTTTGACGTCTGTAAGAAGTGGGAATAAATTCTGTACTCAGAATTGCTAATAAATCCTGAAATGAAGGTGTGCTAGTAAGAGATGCATGTGCTGCATCCTCATTGTCAGGAGACAAAACGAAGAAGAATTGTTTTGAGCAGTTCAGTCAGACGTAATTGGAAGTGATAGGATGAAATTGAGCAAAAAAGAAATTTAAGTTGAACATCAGGAAAAATTGCCTGACAATCAAGTCAATTAGAGTCTGGGAAGGGCTCTCAAGGGAGTCTCAGTCCATCTAACCCCTCCTCTAGAGAATGTGTCCTAGTAGTCTGTCTAGACAGCAGGAATAGTGGGAGATGAATGTGCTTTTATGAGGATAAATTGTGTCTAAATATGGGTGCACGCAAAAGTCTTTTCAGAGTGAAGCAAGACTAACTTCTCAAATGACAAACGGGTGTTGTCTGTTTACTGGTGCTGTTCACAGCTCTGCATAGCAAGTAGAATGAGCCCAAATGAATAACACAGCACTGCCTGTGGGGAGTTTATCCAGATACAGCAGTTATTTAGCAGGTGTCTCCTGATCCTGCAGGACACTTTATTTTTGTGCATCTAAATGTATCTGGAGTGTTCAGTGCAAAAGGCAAATTTTCAGATCCTTATGCAAAGATGAAGAGAAGTTTGGGTCAGAATTAGGTGGAAGCTGGCTAATGTCATTGGGACTTTTTCTTTTGGCTCAAGCAAGTTTTGAGGACCTGCTTTTCCATGCAAAGAGAGAGCTGAGCAGTGCCAGGGAATCTGAAGTGTGAGCAGGAGATGAGAAGCACAAATGGAAGACAAAGACTCATAAGGGGAATGAATGAGAAGAGGCAAAGACAGAGCTTAGAATAAAGCAGAGGTAAAAAAAGCTTTGAATTTGAGATGGAGATTTTTAAATTCTGCTTTGTGAGCATGAAAGTTTGTGAATACATTTCTATCACCACAAAATGTTCTTATTTTGCAAATCTCTGTCACCCTCCTTGACCTATAATTGTTTTGATAAGAGAGCACCAGGATCATGGAGATGAGGCCATTCATGCTGTTTAAAACCTTGTTTTAGAGTCCATTATGTGGGGTTTTTTTTGCCAACAGTAATATATGTAAATTCTTCTGAGTGCAATGGGAATCTGTGTGTTGCCATGTTTTCTTTTTCAGTTAGTAAGGTTTGGTCTGTGTTAGTTATTTGTATCCAACAAAGAGTGACTGTAGGCTCAGATGAAAGAGCAGCTCAGCGTTTATATTCAAGGATTTAAAAGAGATGAACTCTTTCTTCCCACATGAAATAAAAAACATTTATCCTAGTACCTAATGGCTTCCACACAATTTTTTTTTCTCTTCAGTGCAGTTCAGCCTTTCATTCTGAACTGGCTGGTAAGTGGAAGCTGACCCACTTTTATCTGGCGGCCTGCATTAATGTGCTTTTGTGGAAGCCAATTATGATATCAGCATTGCTCTGTAGAGTATTCCCAGCAACTCCACAGTACCATAACAACAGCTGCACAAAATCTCCCTCGAAGTAATTTGCCAACTTTGTGCACATTTGTTAAACATTCAATACCTGCAGCACTGCTGATTGCTACAGGGGATCTATGCTGTACCTGGTAAAAAAAAAAAAAAAAAAAAAAAAAAAAAGGAAAAAAAGGAAATTAAAATACATTCATTTTGTCTTTAGCAGGACCTGCTGTAATACAATCATACTGCTAATTTGTGAAGAAAAAATAGTTGTTTCAATTCACAGTATTTTCTTTTCAAATCCTTTTTATTTTCAAAGTTCTTATGTGCAAATCTGATGCAAGTAGTATTTGCCTTTAACTAGCACTAAAAATTATTATTTTATTACAGTTTTTTCGCTAGGAGAACATTCAGAATGCAAATATTTGCACTTTGTTTCCTTCAGTTGTTTGGAAAATTAAAGGTTTGTTAGTCTTCTCTCTGATTGCTTTGTGATGTACTGGGACCATGAAGGGAAATTCTCTTTTGTAACTGGCATGAAGATATGGTAAGTAAAAGTATGTCACTTACTGGATGGGTTCCCCCAGTTCTGTGACTTAGCATGGTGTAGCAGTGATGAAGCTGTTCTGATCAATGTGTACTTTCCTACAGCAGTTTCCAAGTGGTTCCTCTAGATCATCTTCATGCCACCACAATCATCATTAGCCATTGCCTAGTGCCACGGGTGGAGCAGTAGAAAAAATTACTCCTTTTCCAGAGGGAACTGTAGCTTGAACTTGTGTTAGCTAGACCTAGGAAACTAAGCCAAGTTTTATAAGAAATTTAAAACTGGGAAGAAAGTTTTTCATCATTGTATCTTTTGTGCTTGTCCAGTTCTTTTGTACCTAACAGAGGTATCCTGAGGTTACTAAAGAATTTAGGTTTTGTTGATAAGTAAAATATATTAAGCCAGCTAGAATCCAGATAATTTTAATAGCTCTTTAGGTGGATCTTTGAGTTCCTAAATTCCAGTGCAAGTTACATGTGCTCAGCAACTTTCAGGATCCGGTTCTTAATCTGTGTTTACAACAAGAAACGACTTGTTGATAACTTCATATATTAAAAATGTTATCAGCCCTCAACCTGATAACATTAGGAGGCAACAAACCATAAAATGAAAATAATCATGATTTATTAAGGGCTGTTATTCAATAATTGTATTTCTTATCAGGAATTATAATTAACAAAACTATATAATTTGGTTTCCTCTGTTAGCCAGAAATAGCCTGTAATGATTTCCAGAGGTTATTTTACTTACAGGTTTTTTTTGCTGTTGTTGCTTCACAAAACCAAGAAATTTGCATCTCTTTTAGACTGAGATTTTTTTAAAATCCTTGTCATTACGGCAGCAGATGTTGCAAGTAGCTTGCCAAAATCAATACCAACATTTAGTAAAAACACCAAATTTTTCAAGTATCTTGACAGGAGCAGCAGTGTAGTTTACCTCAAAAGACAATGAGCTGGAGTTGAGGAGACTGGCTTCAGTCTCAGAACTCTTAGGGACTCAATGTGTATCTCAGACAAATCAATTCCCTTTTTGGGGCTGCTGGTTTTTTTCTCTACCACTAATGCAATTTCTGCTTAGGATGCACTGCTCTGCTTCTGCAGTACCTGACACAGCAGCCAGGACCATTTGATACCACAATCCAATTATTATATTAATAATAAATGAATCATATAATTGTAATCTTAAATTCAGCTGAATACCTGATTTTTCACTTGCATGCTAGTTGATTTCCCCAACTACCTCACTTTGGCTACAGTTTTAAGTCATTGAAAAGCCCTTCAAGTTTTCTGTCAATAAAT